GTACACGAATCAAAGAACACCAGCGATGTGCCAAATACGGCCACTTCTCACAATCAGCTCTAGCCGAACACAAGATTGAGACCGGACACGCCATCCAGTTCGACAAAGCCACCATGCTGGCCCCGTCCCAAAGCTATTTCGCACGAAAACACCGCGAAGGCATAGAAATCTTGAAACACCCTGACAATCTTAATCGCGACAAAGGCTATCAGGTGAGCCCGATATGGCACACCGCCCTCCCGGTTTTTTAAAAAACCGTCAGCCGGGATTGGCTGACTCCCCTCCCTCTGACTCCCCTCCGTCAGCCGGGATTGGCTGACTCCCCTCCCTCTGACCACGCCCCCCTGACTACCCCCTCCCTTCCCCCCAAGAACGAGTATAAAAGGACGAGCGCAACGCGAGGGAGCTCAGAGTCTCCCAGCCCTGATGAAGCAGACTGCAACGCCTGCGAAACGTCGGCACCACACTGCAAACGGACGCGGCAACCATCCGAAAGCCATGAAGATTAAAATTAGAATATATTTATATACATATGTGTATAAAAAGACAGGTCAATTCTCTGAACATACAATCTGATACTGAACTATTATCCGAAGAATACCTGCCTATTTTAAACCTACTCCCTCCTCCTAAATAATTGTTCCCCCCACTCCTCCTCTCTTTCTCCCCCCTTTTCTCGTACATCCTACTTCCTTCTCTTACTGTAATATAATTCTCGTGCCATTTGCCAAGTTACCTTGCTACGACCATGCTGACCAAATTGATCCAGTTCACAGCATTTCCAACATAACTACTAAGTACGTATTCTAATTCTGTTTCTCCTACCAATTATAAAACCATTTTATATTTTTTCCTTACAACTCATTTTGGTACATTGCCTTTATTTCAACCTGCGTTTTTACAATGTTGTACACGATATGCGTTTTAATATGTAAACCGTCACGACACTTTGTATAAAATTATTGTATATTACTGAAGATGGTCTAGAATTCGACCGAAACGTTTAAGTTAATCTTTATGTTAGTTTAACAATAAATTATCTTATAATTTGACACGTACATCTCGTCACGGTTCAGAGCCCTTTCTCCTTGATTCTGATTTATATCATACGAGCCTTTGTCACACAAAAATAAAATAAAATAAAAGTGTCCGGAGGGGACAAAAAGATAAAACGAGTAAAATTAATAAATAATACATAGATAATAACTTAGGTGGTACGGACAATTTTATCGTAGATAGTGTTCAGGCAATCTTATACTTAGAAAGAAAGAGAGATGCTTTACTTTGAACCAGACAAGTGTTTATTTCACTATGCTTTCAATAGAACATATAAGAACTTAAATGTAACATGTCTAATGTGCGAAATGAAAGATCGGGAAACTGTTTGCACGAAAAGTTGTGGATAGAGACAACGCTGTGGTTCAGTAATCGAGCGCAGACGTATATGCGTAGAATACTACCGAATAGATGGTGTCTCGATGAGGAAAAAGTACGTATTCAAGAGAGAGTGAGATTCAGATATCCAGAACGAAGCGAGGTACGCGGATTATGTCTGAAAAAACCGAAGCGAGCGAGCTGATCGAGAACGCGGCGAATGTCGTAGACGAGGACGATTATCGCGCGTGGGATCGTCGATGCGAGGAGTGTTTGGAATCGTTGAGGCATGAGTGTCGCATGTGTCCGAATACTACCGGAACGATCAATTCCCTTGTCGCTTTGATTAGCGCTGTTAGAGGGAGCGAGGACCGAACTGCGAGGTCGCGTAGTTCGTGCGGGTGCCGGTCGCGATGCCGGTCACGATGGATTCAGATGGGTGGAGATGGAGACTGCGTTTCTGAGACGGGTATTCACCGGTGCGGTAATCAATTTCCGTTACATCGAGCCTAGAGAATTTCTCGAGGACGTCGGAGAAACGGTGATGGAGAAGGTACGCGAGAATTTGGAAAGACACAACTGTGTGAAAGTCAACACGGTGTTCAATGGGAAATTCGTTGCGTTCGAAAAGACCGCTGTAAAGAGCATCGTCACGAAAAATCGACAGCTCTTTCGCACCGCAGATCTGTTCGAATCGTACAACACGGCGATGGAGACGACATTGGCGAAATTGGAGGAGTTTCAGGAGCGCGACAGCGGGTGGGCGCTGTCGCGCATACTGAATATAATGATCAACGTAAATATGTGCAATCCTATGCGCGCGGGCTGTTGGATTGATATGCCGCCACAGGTAAAAAAGAAGAAAGCGGTCGTGAACGTACGATCGATGGATAACGCATGTTTCGCGCGGGCGGTGGTTGCGGGTCTATATCCTACCATGGCGAATCCCACGAGATGGAATCGGTATCCCGATTTTCAAACGGTGTTGAGGCTCGATGGAATAAACTTTCCTATGAATCTGCGACAAATCGGAAAATTGGAACGGCTGAACGAGATATCTGTCAACGTGTTTACCACGAGGGAGGACAAACCGGATGGAACGATCGTTCCGCTGTATCTCACCGAACGCAAAAGAGATGTTCACGTAAATCTGTTCTATCTGTCGGATCCGCGATACGGCTTCCAGGTGGGCCATTTTGCGTGGATAAGGAATCTTTCGCGATTAGTCGGGAGTCAGGTGATCAATCGAAAAAACAAGAAGTACATTTGTGATCGGTAAGTATTACGAGGGAGAGAGAGAGAGATAGTACATGTGAAGTGCAGACTAATAATCAAATTACTTCCAGATGTCTGCATTACTTTCACTCGAATGAAGGATTGTCCAAGCACATCGTGGATTGCGAAAGGATGAATAACTGCGCGATCGTTCTTCCGAACGAGAAGAACAAGTGGCTCAGCTTTCGTCACTACGAGCGAAAAGAGAGACTTCCGTACGTGGTATACGCCGATCTGGAGTGCGCCTTGGAGAAGGAGCGAGAGGAGAGTGAGTGTGTATCGCGAAGCAGATTTGCCTATCAACGTCATACAGTGTTTAGCGTTGGCTATTACGTGCGATGTGTGCGAGAGGAGGATGCGACGACGTACAAATCGTATCGCGGCGAGGATTGCGTGGCGTGGTTCGCGCGGGAATTGAACGCTCTTGCGCATCGCGCGAAGCAGAGTCTGGGCGCGGTCGTGACTATGCCGCCGCTTACGTCAGATGAGATGCGTATCTTTTGGAACGCGAATCGTTGCCACATATGCGGAGAGTCATTCCAGCCGAAGGATCAGCGCGTTCGCGATCACTGTCACATAACCGGACGTTACAGGGGTCCGGCTCATGCGCGTTGCAATATAAACTTCAACAATTCCTTCATAATTCCGGTGTTCTTTCACAATCTTTCGGGTTACGATGCGCATTTCATTATCGAAGAGATCGCTAA